AAAAAAAAAACTTGGTTTCCTTAATGTGGCCATTTTAGTAAAGTTATATATATATTTTTTTCAATTATTATTATTATTTTTAATGTTTATTTATTTTTGAGAGATAGAGCATGAGCGGGGGAGGGGCAGAGAGGGAGGCAGACACAGAATCTGAAGCAGGCTCCCGGCTCCGAGCTGTCAGCACAGAGCCCGATGCGGGGCATGAACCCACAAGGCATGAGATCATGACCTGAGCTGAAGTCAGACGCTTAACCGACTGAGCCACCCAGGCGCCCCAGTAAAGTTATATTTTTATTTAAAAAGCGTATGTACTAAGGGCACCTGGGTGGCTCAGTTGGTTAAGCCACCGACTCTTGGTTTCAACTCAAGTCATGATCTCACGATTCGTGGGTTTGAGCCCTACGTCAGGCTCTGTGCTGACAGTGTGGAGCCTGCTTGGGATTCTCTCTTGGCCCGTCCCCTGATCTCTCTCTCTCTCTCTCTCTCTCTCACTCTTTCAAAACAAATAAACATTTAAAAAAAAAAAAGGAAAAAATAAAAAGAAGCATACGTACTTGATGGACATGTTTTCCTATGCACTCAAGTTGCATGTCTGAAGAAAACTAGAGACTAATTTGTTGACCATGTTGTTATGAATGGTGGCTGGGCCACCGCCAAAGGTGGCGACCCCTGTCTGACTATTTAGAAAGCAATACTGACTGTCCTTGGTAGGCCAGGCACGAGGAAAACAGTTATGTATAAAGAAATATGGTAAGTGGACAGAAAGAGACTGAGTGACAGACAGACAAATACAGAGTATTATGGGAGGGCCAGGAGGAACAGTTAGGACTTCACTCACTATGAACTGAAGGCACCATGCCCATGACAATGCAGTTAGTCTAACTCACAGTGGTGGCAAATATCCCAGATGAGCTGGGTGAGACTGACCTACCCACCTGCACCTCTAGCTGCTTAAGCATCCACAACACCCTAATCTACTGTCTCAGAGCCCAGGGAGATGGACATTTTGGGATGGTACTCTCCTTATGATCCTGTTTGTTACACAGTCCCCAGAGTTGAGGCCTCTGACAAAAACCTTGCTTAGATCCTGGTCCACCTTTTATGTCCCCAATCCTATCTCCGCTCTCCCAACTCTTTGCCTCACTTCCTCTATACTCCGGGCCCCCTGGTCTCCACCAGCTACTCATCACCTAGGCTCCCTCCTCTTTGGACTTGCCACTGAATCCCAGCTCCATGCTTCCCTCCCTTCCTCCCCATCTGCCCCCCACCCCAGCTCACCTGTACTGGAAGGGGGCTACTGTGGCTGTGACTGGCTGACTCTGCTGATGGACCGAGGCGAAGCTGATGGCCCCTGGGGTGGGGGAGGGGCGCTTGCTCTGCACAGGGCTGCACACTGGGGAAGAAGCCCCTGATGCTGCCCCGGCATCAGGCTCCAAAGACTTCGAGACCCCTGGACTTTTGTAGTTTGTATCTCTTTGGTCCTTTCCCGGGTGGTTAGGAGGTTTTCGACCTTCAGGAGCCCCTGGTATTTGAGTTTCTCCATGAGAGCTCATTCGGGATGGGCTCCTGCCCCGGGTCTGGCGGACTGGAATCCCTTCCTGAGCCACCTTCTTCTTTCCCTGGGTGCCTTGTGTCTCCCCAGTTCTTCTGGACCCAGCCCGGCTGGAGAGGGCAGCTTTTGGGCTTGCCCTGGGACTGCTCCATGGGGAGCTGGAGAGGCCTTCACCACCCTCAGCTGACTCTCTCCCTGCCCCAGAAGTCTTGGGGGAGCCTCTCCCCCGAGAGGCCTTAGGAGAGGAGTTTCTGGAAGGGCCTCCTGCTTTGCCCAGTCTCGGGGAGGCCGAACGCTGGGGGCTCAGGGCCAGGCCGGCCTGGCGTGGCCGCAGCTGGGGAGAGGCGCCCGGTGTATGAATCCTGGTCTGGGAAGCAGCTCGAGGCACAGGTATGGAGGAGGCATAGTGGGGCCGGCTGGCCGAGTTCACATTGGCCATCCCATTCATGGTGAGCAAGGTGGCAATGAGGACTACTGTCCTGCAGAGAGAGGAGAGAAAAGAAGATCGTTAGGCACCATCCTGAGTTTCCATCCCCGAGGGTATAAAGATGATGATGAAGTCAGGGGAAGAGGCATCAGCATCCAGGCTGGACACGGGGACTCCTGGCTTCACATCCTGATTCAGTCAGTGCCTCCCTGCCTGACTCTGGACAAAAACCCCTTTACCTCCCCTCTCTCAAATGCTGCTGTGAGTCTCCTATGCAGACACATATGTGAAAGTGTTTTGGGAACTATGGTGCTCTCTACAAACGGAGTTAATTTGGCTTCCCTTGCCTCTTGCCCTCCACTGATAGGGGATAGACCCTTCCTCGCACCCTGAGTCTACAAGGCACTGACCACGGTAAACCAACTTCCTTGTGCCGTCCGCCTTTGCTCTGCATGTTCCTTCCACTTGCCACTTTATCTGACAAAAGTGTCCAGGATACCTCTCCAGTGGAGTGTAATCCTCCAGATCCCATTGGGCCCAAAGGTGGAGCAGCCGATCCCAATCCCCACCAATCATAAACTTGCGAACCTTCTCTGACCTCGGGCTCCTGCCACCTGGCTCATACTATTCACTGGTCCTCGTTGATGCCCATCTCTCCTGGTCCCTATCCACTGCCCCCACCCCTTCAGTCACTGGAGATTTGGGCACTGGACTCAGTCTTCCTTTCTAGCCCATTCCCCATCCACCTCCCAACCTAGCAAAAGTGACCTCTGCCACCCTGGGCCTCTGGTCTCACAGATTAAGTGTCCCACGTTTAGATACAGGCAGAACCCTCTAGGTACCCCCCCTCCCCCAGCACTCAATCCCTTCCCTCCCAGACCCTGATCCATTAATTATCGCATCTCTCTCCCATACCCTCAACCTCTCCTCCTCTACCAGCTTCTCTTCCCTGCCATGTTAATTAATGAATTAATTGCTCTATTAATCACTTTCATTCCCGAGGGAATTTGAAGCCATTTACAAAGACACAATCAATCAATTTCAGATAGGTGAAAGAGTGAAGTGGAGGAAATGTAGAAAATGAAACCATAAAAGAATTTTCAGAGCACACACATAAATGCTTCCATAATTTTGTTGTGGGAAAGGCCTTTAGATGCCCCACGTCAGAGGCAGAAATTACAAAAGAAAGCACTGATAGACTTGAGTGCATAAGAATGAAAATCTCTGTATGAACACAAGAGCCCTTTCAAAAGGTTCAAGCCACCAAGAAACTATAAAGATACTTGCAACGTATATGGGGGACAAGGAGTTAATACTTTTAAGCACAGAGAATTCTACCAAATCAATAAGAGAAAGCAAATGCCCCACAGAATAAAAAGCAAAAGACTTGAACAAGGAATTCACAAAATAATACATACAATTGGCCAAAACCCAACAAAAAGAAAAGGCCTCCTTAAAATCGAAGAGATGCCCGTTAAATGTTATCATTTCTGCTATCAAATTTACTACCTTTTAGAAAATGCATATTATCCACCATTGGTACAGGGCCACAGGGCTCTCATACACTGCTGTGGGAACAATGCCAGATCTAGAAATGTGTCCTAGGGAAAGGATTGAAAATGTAGGCAAATGTTTATGTACGAGGAGGCAAATGCTCAAGTTGACTCTCCAGGGGTAAATGGGCTCTGGGTGAAGACGGAGACAGAGGACATGTGGGCAGAGAAAAGGCCACCACGGTACAGCTGGTCCACCCAAGACCACTGGGGTGGCCCCTTTCACACTGTGGAAAAAGCTGTCGGCAACTGCAAGGGATTGTTTCTGGCTGTTGTTGGCCTTGCTCTGACCTTTGACTCTGTGGCCCGGGACCAGTTACAGGCTAAGCTGTGAGAAGTCAATGTAGACCCCTAAACATTGATGGATTTATAGAACTACAGCGCGAAATGACGGAGAGTTAGGGCTTCAGGACTGCCCTACTCACGGATGAAATAATTTCCACTAGGAAGAGAAATACAATGACCTCCTCCTCCTTTCCTCTAATTTGTACCTGAATGACTTGATGCCACTATTGAATGAGCTGAATGTCCTCCAGCAGACAGGGCAAAGCCGTGTGTGTTCAGAGGCGCACAACCAGCTTGCCTCCACTCCTCCAGTGGCTGCCCCATCACCTAGGCCCGTAGGACCCCGTCCAAGGCTTCCCTGACTCCTACTTCCTTCCCACCCACCAGGCCACAGTCTGAAAGGACGCTCTTAAGTCACCCTTTGCCTGCCCACCGTCTCCCATACAGGGCGTGCTGCCCTGTCCCCAGCCCCCAGCATGCCAAAGACAGTCCCATTGGAGGGCCTGAGTGAGAAGTACTTTCACAAAGAGATCTCAGAATGTGTCAAGTAGGTACTAACAGCAGCTGTGAGAATCTCCATGCTCAGCCTGCAAAATAAGAACAGGATAAAATCTAGCAACTGCTGCCAGGTGGAGAAATAGAGGGTCTTTAAGATAAGAAGGAGCACTATGCTTTAGCCTGGCCTCAAGACCATAGTGAGGATTCTTCCCCAGTAGCGGTGAGAGCAGATTTACTCTGTCATCCTTCTCCTATCCCGCCATTCCACTAACGATCAGCTACGTGCCTCACTGACAATGCCAAGCAGGACCAAAGGGACAAGAATGGACCCGATGAAAGGTGTGTGTGGTCCCTGAGCTGCTGACCTTGGCGTCCAGCACAGAGCTGAGCCATGCACTGGCCGACTGAGCTAATCAGCTGACCACCCACGACAAGGACCCAAGACCACTGACCCATGACAGCCATACCCCCGAGATTTCAGCGTTCCCATGTTTAATCCCTGCACTGGCACGGTGCCACACAGGCCACTTCTGCCTCCCCCCTTGGGCTGAGTCCCCATCAGGGGACCATGGCCACATGAACGCACCAGACCACCCCCTCTGGGAGCTACCTCTGTGATGAAACCTAGAGCTGTATCTAGGCTCCACCTGCACCACTCCCCTACCCACGTTGTAATGCCCAGGGACCCCCCAAGAGCCCAACTCACCTACGTTGTCCCTGAAGCATCCCCAGACTCCCCCAAGCCCTACATCAAGGACTGACCAGAGTTCCGGCCAAGAGAGCCCCAAGGCAGAGAAAGCTGATTCTACTTCACTTGCTAATGGAGCAGATGCAGTTGCTGCTTTCACTGGATCATCATTTTTTCAAAGGCTGATGGAAGAAGATTTAAAAACATTCCTGTGGTAGGTCACAGGAGCCACACCCCTCCCTCTTCACTGCAGTTGGGGCCCTGCTCTCTCCCGCACCCCGCCCGTGCCCATGACAGCCCTCACCTAGACCAGGAACAGCACCACACAGGATGTAACAACCACTCTCCCACGTGGGAGCCTAGGAGAATCAGACCACCCTTAGGTCTACAATCAGGTGGTGGAGGAGGGATCCCCAAATACATTGAGCTCTTTTAGCCTGGCAGGCAAGGGGGCACAAAGGAGCCTTCCTGGTTTGCCTTTAGAGTGGGAACTCCCAGGTGCTTCAGTATCCTTACAGAGATCTCAAGGGGACACCCAGCAAATCCCTCTTCCCTAGACAGTATCAGGATCTCTCTTTCATTGAGACATGGTTTCTAACCCTCACAACAACCTCCTAAAGTAGCTTTTATTATCCCCATTTGCCAGGTCAGGAAAACAAGGCTGAGAAGGTTAAGTCGGCTGCCAAACGACAAACATAGCTAGAGAGCAGTAAAGCTGTGATTCAAAAGCAGATGAGCAGGACCCTGAGGCCCAAGGATGGATTCCCTAGACCACAGCTACCAGTGCAAGTCCAGCCTCAGGAGGTACTCCTCAGCCTCCATATCCACACTGTTGTTGCTGTGATTGACAGGTCTGGGCCTTCCAGAGATTGTGGGGGAGGGTAGAAGGGGGCGTAAATCCAGTTCACAGGGTGGAAAACAGAAAAGGAAACCAGTCACGGGCCTCTGGAGGAGGCCTCCTCCTCCTCTCTTTTTCTCCAGCACTCCTCAGATCTAGCCAGCTACCCTTGCACTGTTCATATCCTGTTTGCCTTTGGTGGTACTAGGGGTCAAGGTGGTCTCAGGGCACTGCCTTGTAAGAGGCTATAGGCAATGATGCGGCTGGGGAGGGAGATAATGGGCCAAATCCAGCCTGGCCACATGCTTAATATGCCCAGTTGGCAGCAGGTGGCATACTTGGGGTAGGTGGGAATTGAGGAGGAAGACTATGGAATTACAAGACTACAGTAGATGGGAGACCTGGGGAAAAGGGGGGAGAGAGTGCTCATGGGAGGCAGGGTCTTAACTGAGACACATGGACAATAGTATCTCCAATAGTATCTCAAGGGTGAGGCCTCTGTGCAGATGATCTCTGCTGTGGCCCCAAAAGTTATCTACTGGCCATGGCACCCAAGCTGCCTTGTTAATGGACCGAGTGATTTGGGAAGCTCCCATACTTGCTCTGGGGCTCAGTTTCTCCTTCTGTCAAATGAGGGGGAAATTCTGCCTCCTTGCTCTCCATAGCTTCATGTCCTAAGGAGGCTGAACGAGGTAGTATCTAGAAAACGTTCAGCCTCCTGGGGAGAACAGGGTTAGCTGTAATGGCTTCCATTTTCTGGTGCTCACTGTCAGACAAAAATGTCCTAGAGAAGCAGGACAATCTATATCTCTTTTGGACAGGCCCTGTTCAAGTACTGGCTGTCAGTACTAATCATCTTTTGTGATACCTTCACAATATATCTGGGGAGGCTCAAGGGCAGAAGGCGAGGAGCTAGGAGTGGAAACAAGGAGACCATTTCTTTCTTATGTGAATGTGTGTGTGCATGCACATGTGGTGCTGGGGAATCCTACCAGATCCCCTACTCCTCAACATGCTCTCTCTTCTTCCTTCCCCTTCTTCCTTCCGCCCCGATCTGCGATTTCATTTAACCTCAGTGAATAGATTCAAGAAGAGGGTCTCACTTGAGACCTTGTTTCTTAGTTCACTCATTCCAGGGATCTCTGTCCTCAATAAATTACATTAGGGAGTTAGTACTCCCCATTACAAAAGCTCGTAGCACTTTCGAAAGGATTCACAGCAAGATCCCTTTGTTCAACAACACACACCTTGGTTGAATACCTTCCACATGCCAGGTGCATTGCCAGGTGCTGTGGCAATCACCATGGCTGAGACCTAGGTTCTGCTCTCAGGGAGCCAACAATCTGGTACGGGGAAGCAGGAAACATGCGCAGTCATCACAAGCACACATGCGGTGTGTCAAAAGAGGCAAAACAAAGTGCTATGGGGCTGTGTGTGTATCAGTCTGACAATAAGGTAGAATCAGAGAAGGCTACAAGGAAGAGGCAGCAGCAGGGTTGGGGGTTGGTCTGAGATCTGGCAAACAGCAGATTTGATGACTGAACCTCCCATGCCCAGGGGTCTATCCATCAGTGCTCCAACACATACTCTGCTCTTCAGTGTAGCGGTGACAGAATAAACTCTGGAGTCACAGTGTCTAGGTCCAAAGCTTGGCTTTGCCATTTGCTGATGGTGTAGCCTTGGGCAAATTCCATAAACTCTGAGTTTCCTCATTGGTAAAATGAGGCTGAGACTAGGATCTCCTCTTCACTGCTTTGAAGAGTAAATTAGTTAATACATGCAGTGCTTAGAACGGAACCTGGCACATAATAAGGACTCAACAAGTATTGTTATTATGATCATAGGGACAAAGGACTTTTTTCCAAGTGTCCTTCCATCCTAGATGCCCAGGGATGGAGGCTGAGCTGCCTGGTTCTTCTGGAGCCTCCAGCAGAGCAAAGGAGATCAGAGACCCTGCCAGGCTTGGATCAAAAACCTGTAGCATTAACAGGAAAAACACTGCCCATGATGGATGCAGTAACACCCACCAGTGGATGGGGTAGGAAACTAGATAGTTTGGAAATTGTGTAATGGAAAGAGTAAAGGCTTCTGAGTCAGGAAGACCCGGGTTCAAATCCCAGATTTGCTACTTCTTGCTATGTGGCTTTAGATAAATTATTCAACTTTTTTGAGCCCAAAGTCCTCATCTGAAATAAGCGGTCATAGAGTTTTGTAAAGATTAAATGAGAGAATAAACATAAGGTACTTAGCACGGTGCCTGGCGCATAGTAGGTACCCAAGAAATGGCAAAAATTATGTTAAGGAGAACAGCTGCCCTTCTTCCCTAAAGGGAAGGAGACAAATTCAGACACAGACTGGGACAATCTGATGGATGGCAGGTGAGTCGAGAGGCTGGTGGCATCCAGGAGAAGTGGCACAGTCCCAGCCATTGAACACAGTGTGTAGCCCTACCCAACATGTACTTCCATTTTGTCCCCCTCTACCTTTTTCAGTCCACACCCCAACTGTCTGTTCTCTCATCCTCACCCTGGGGTCTTGCTTTATTTTTAAATCCAACACTTTTTAATTGCATTTACCGACTGCATGCCAGGCACTGTTCTGTTTTTTAACCTACATTAACTTGCAATTGGCCTACGAGTTGGTGCTATTATATTATCATTCCCACTTCACAGGCAAGTGGCAGCAAAGCACAGAGAGGCTGAGGAATTTGCTCGTAATCACACAGCTGGTAGATGGGAGAGCCAAGATTAAGCACAGACAGTGGAACCAGCCAGTGCCTGTAACTACCCTGCTCTGTTGCTCATCCTACAGCCTCAATCCAGGCCTCACAGCTGACTCCCTTGCACCCCCAACCTCCCAGCTTTTGTCAGCCTTGAATCATTCTGGCCTCAGGCCCCATCAGGACAAACAGAGGCCCCTGACTCCGCAATGCTCTGTAAACCCCAGAGCCAGGAAGTAATTTTGGCCTATAAATATTTCACTCTAGCTCGGAATGTGGGGAGAGCTTAAGCGCCAGTTCCCTCAGATCTGCGGGTCAGAGGCGGGATGAGGGGAGGGAAGGCGGGCACTGTATTCAGCGATCCCTTCCAGGTCTGGAGGACTAGCCAGGCTGCAGATTCCCAGCCAAGACTCTGCCGCCCTTTCTGCCCTTGAGACTCCCGCAGAGGTGGCGGAGTGGGCGGGGCGCGCGCTGTGCGCGGGGCGGCGGCCGTGGTGCTGATAGGACAGCTCCTCCTGCAGTGGCCCCGTTAAAGGAGCCGCGTCTGCGCTTTGTGAATGTGGTTAGGATGCCCATTTCAAAAAGTCAGAACATTTTAACCACAGCATCAAAAGGGTGGATATGGAAGACGACAAGAGAAGAGAAGATAAAAAAGGGGGTGCTTGGGTGACTCAATCGGTCAAGTATCCCACTC